TTTAAAATATAATAATAATAATAATAATACACATTTGGAATAATAATAATACACATCAAAAGTCTCTTTGTGAAAAGTTTTTTGATTGGCTAAAATTATTTTATTTCCCGGTGTTCCTTTCTTTTGACTTTTTTATGACGGAAGTTATGCGTGGAGCCTCCCTGAATTTTGGTATTTTTCACTTGCAAGTAATAAAGCTATGATCCTGCCAACTTCTGGCATTTTTCGGCCGGTTTCAGCCTTTTTCTTCGTCTTCTTCTTTTTAATTGAGCGTTGCCTTCTCGTTAGTTGAGAAAAGTATAGAAAAAGAAGTCAGAGACACACGGAGAGAGAGAGAGAGAGAGAGAGAGAGAGAGAGAGAAAGAGAGAGAGAGAAAGAGAGAGAGAGAAAGAGAGAGAGAAAGAATAAGAAAGAAAGGGATAAGAGCAAATGCCTTATTTTAATTTGAATTATTTTTATTTTTTATTATATATTTTATTTTTATGCTATTATCGGGAATCACTTCAAATTAATAAAAAATAAAGTGATTAATCACTTATTCTACATGGATGATATCAAACTTTATGCCAAGTACGAATAAAGTGTCTCCTCAATACAGTAAATTTTGTTCAGTGATGAGATCGGTATCGATTTCGGATTAGATAAATGCGCAAAAGTGACATTCAGGAAACGGGGAATTACAGAAACACACTCAATAGATCTAGATTTTCCCACAAAGTTTAGGGAACTGGAACAAGAAGAAGCCTATAGGTACCTAGGAATCAGCGAAAGAGATGGAATACAGCATAGCCAAATGAAAGAGTAAGTACGAAAAGAATACTACAGACGTATACGTCTGGTGTTAAATACTATTGAATTCACAAAAACATATCAGCCATAAAATTGTGGTGAATTGCAGTTTCAATATTCTTAATTAGACCATAGCTGACATTAAGCAAATGGATGTCAAAACGAAAAAAAAAAACTTCTCACTCGCCAAAGCATGCATCATCGCAAGGCTGATGTTGATCGTCTGTGCCCAGATCCGAAGGAGGCAGAGGATTAGTTCAACTAGAACTGTTTTAAGAAACCACAATAATCAGTCTTCAAGGATAACTGAAAATTAAAAAGATTGGATGATTCTCTTTGACAAAGAAAATGTAAGAAATATGGGAGTTTAATCAGTAATAAATAAAACCAAGAAATTCAAAAGGCAATTTCAAGTGGGGGAATAAATGCACCGCAGCCATAATAGATTTACTGGAGCGGTAAATGCCATAAGAAAGAACGAAAAAAACATTGTAATTTGCCGAATGCAGAAATGATAGGAAGATCAACCTCTTTATACTTAATACACTAGCTGTGCTAAACAAGGTGATGAAGGCAAACACTATACCCAATGACGGTACGTAATGCAGGTTTTAAAACTGAAACGGAAGTTTTTATTCTTGCTGCACAGGACCAATGTTTGCTCACTAGAAATTACAAGTATCTGTCTATATTTCTGAGATGAGGTATTATGTACACTATTTACATTATTCGGACTATTGTCCTCATCTTTGTTGCCATATTTATTACAACGTCTCAGCCTTTCAGTATCTGTCTATATTTCTGAGATGAGGTATTATGTACGCTATTTACATTATTTGGACTATTGTCCTCATCTTTGTTGCCATATTTATTACAACGTATCGGCCTTTCAGTATCTGTCTATATTTCTGAGATGAGGTATTATGTACGCTATTTACATTATTTGGACTATTGTCCTCATCTTTGTTGCCATATTTATTACAACGTATCGGCCTTTCAGTATCTGTCTATATTTCTGAGATGAGGTATTATGTACACTATTTATATTATTCGGACTATTGTCCTCATCTTTATCGCCATATTTATTACAACGATTCGCCCGTTGTACGCTCCGGCCTTCTTCAGGTGGTTGTAATGTCGAAATGAACGCTTTATTTCGCTCACTGGGGTAGACTGTTATAATTCCACGTGCCATGTTTCAAGGACACATGGCACGGTGGATAAAGACGTTTGTTAGATCCAGTAACAGGACCCAAAGAGTGTGAGTTCAATATCCAGTTAAGGCAGTGGAGAACTTGGAGAGGGGAATTAACAGGAGATAACTGATAACTGAAATCCATTAAACATGGCACGCGGAACTAGAAGAGTCTACCCCAGTGAGAACAAGAAACAGAATCAGCTGAGCACCTTGTACCAGGTTGCACAGTGTTAGCACCCAGTGTATATGAAACTCGGCATGATAGAGTAGGTCAACATCTGCACTGGGAAATCTGCAACGTTTATGGGAATGAAACTCCGCGAAACTGGTATGAACATCACCCATATTCGTTTACGGAGATAAACAATTTTTCTGATGACAGTTCTCGAATTTAAACTAAGTGAACAAATCACTCTAACGGTGATCGAGTGAACTCAAAATGATAAATTGACACTGAGCATTCCAAATCTATATCGGCATTTGCGACGATACTTGTGAATATTTGATGAGACCAGTGAATTGAGCAAATTAACCCCGAACGTTGTACGGAAATAGATCTGAACTGGAAGTGAAGATGAACCTCTGGGAAATCTTAAATGATTGAAAAATGGTTCGTGAAAAATTAATATTAGTGAAAAGACAAATTGAGGACTTTTAATTACAAAGAAACAGATCTAGCTTTATGTGATGTGTCCCTTCAGGAGTTGGGCGATCATGGCTGTCCGCAGCTTCTTTTCCTCTGTGCCTCTTATTAAATGTATGTCTTTTCATTATCGTTACTCTTTCCTTTTTTAGTCATCCATTTGCACAAAGTTGTTAGATAGATTATTTGCTTTTGTTTGTTTATCTCGCCCACATGATTACCTGTGCATGTCAAATTCTCAGCACCTTCTTTCCTCATTATGTTCCGTATAAACGTAATCTATCTCTTTCTAATTATAGGCAAAAGTGTTCATTTTGATTTGATTCCCCATAAAAGTCTCTATTTACTCACATGTTCAGTCCATAGGATTCTCGACATCCGTATGTAGACCTTCAGTTCTGCTCTCGCCAATGTCTTCATTTGTGAGGAGATTGTCCAGCATTAAATTCTGCACAGTTGGGCCTGACTTATATATAAAGTAAAGATAATGTGTGTCGGTTTCTGCGAGTGGGTGTCCAAGCAACTCCTCCGCTCCCTATCGGTCGGCATTTAAGCTAGCTCCTGTGGAGGATTCTTGGTTTGGCCATCATCACAATAGCTAGCGAGGAGTAGATGTGATGTGCATCAATAAACTACAGAAGAACTCAAAATTGATCGCTGCATTTAAGTATTGAATTAAAGTTTAATCTTCTCTTTTAAAAAAGTTCAACGATAATTCTTCTGCTGCCACTTAATTTGAAAACTGTTTGATCTAGGTAGATCATTATTTTTCGTACAAACAATTATTTTTATTATATGGTTGACAGAACATGGGACAATTTATAAGATAAAATTAATGTAGTGTAAAGATGGGAAAATAGAAGCCCCGCAACCGTCGGTTGTGCTGGCCTCGGTGCGAGCACCGATCCCTCCCTCTGGTGCAATGGGAGGGCGCGGCCTCGGGCAGCTGTTCCCCAGGGCTGGGCACCTTTTCAGTATAATTTTCTCAGTTGCCCCTCTGTTCTTTGACAGTGAAGCCTCTGAGCGCACTCTGCCCAAAGACAGAGACGCAACTGATGATAAATAATACGTACAAATTACTTTATAGTAATAGCTCTACTTCATACAATAAAATCTCGATATATGTATTATATATTATCTACTTCTGGGCAATATCACTCTTCACGTTGAACTAATTTGAATATGCATTTAAAAAAAGGTTAGTTAGATTTAACTATTTTAACAGTAAAAGAGTGGGTATCTAGATTCCAATCTAGTAAAACACTTAAATTCATGTCGTCGGGCCACCATGGAAAAAAATCTCATCAAAGCAATTAGCGGGAAAATATTTGGAGAAAAGACAGAGGGAAGCCACATTAGGTCTGTAAGAAAGTAACTGAAGTCGAGATGCCAAGTTAGGATCGATTACATTGCAGATCCTTCTTTGGATTTTGTCAAGAACATATATTAAGAAAATATATATGATATCTGATATGATATCTGTTAATAAAGTAACTAGACTTATATTTCTCTTGATTTGCGGAACTACCTTCCAAAATCCAGATGAGGATTTGGAGAAACAGTGTGTGAAAATTTCGTTCTCTCCCATCGTCTGCTTAATATCATTTTTAGTTCGTTAAAGGTTGATTTGCACAGAAATATTAACATGTATATTTTATGGTAATTAAATATATGGCCATATCAACTGAATAGCCTTGTTCGCTCCTTAGTAAATCAACCCCCAAATACTAATCGGCAACACGTTTTTGACTAGAAAAGCCTTGTTTTCATGATTGATTTAACAAAAAAAAAGTGTCCTTGCATTGGTAGTTTTGACGATTAATAATCTAAAATAAAAAACGAGGGAGAAAAATACGCGAAAAATTAAAAATAAAATTTCTATAACGAATAAAAATGGCGACGAGGAAATATTTAAAATAAGATCTCATTTAAAGATAAAAAAAAAAGTGATTACCATTTTTTTTCTTCTGTGAATAGTAATAATTTCCAAGTGTTAATTTAGTCGCAGAAAATGTAAACATAATTTTCATCTGTCTTGTTAAACTTGTCCTGAAAATGTTGACTATTCTGGTTGTGGCTTTTTCAGTCTTCAACGTTTTGTTCACTATGGCTATCAATAAATATTTTCCTTCTTAAATAAATCATTGGAGAAGTGAAGTGGACATGTAAAATAACATTATATTCCGTTTTGTTTTTTTTGTGGGGGTGGTTTCTTTAAGTAGGGAATTTGAAATTCTTTTAGTAAATTTCATGTCTGATAAAATATGCGCGTGCATATTTCGTGGAATATGTGTAGATGAACATTTCGTACACGTTTCTCAAACTTATGAATTTATAATCACAATCAAATATACAGACACTAAAGATCCTTACGGCCATATCACGTTGAAACATCGGTTCCCGTATGATCACCAAAGTCAAGCAACGTCGAGCCTGATCAGAATCAAGATGAGAGACCGCTTGGGAATACCTTCTACTGTAAGCTTGGATGTACGTGTGGAATAATAATAGATAATGTCGTGGAATTGTTAATCGGAGAGGCAAGTTTTAAATCCAGTTGTGTTTGCTATATTCACTTACGCACAAATACCCTTGGGGAAGTTATGATTCCACATTGTCTCCCCCTGCTATTGGTTAATTATTAAAACTTGTATCACTAAATCATTATTATTTAAAACAAAGAATTCTTCTGATCTAAAAATATTTCGTGGCTTTAAATTACCAGTTGCATACTCCACCTTTTTGATATTCTCATTCTTTATAGAGGTTTTCCAAGTGTAGCTTAGAGGTGGCACAAGACCAGAGTTATGGAGCATCCAGTAAGGATCGAATTCAATACTATTTGTTCTAGCAAGAAAAGCTCGTTAACCATTACATCGCCTCTAGGGGACATTTTATTTTGTTTATATGTCTTGAAAGTATTAATATGTCAGATACCAGTATGACATAGTGATTTTCCAAGCGTAACTTAGATGTGGTACAAGGTCCAAAGTAGGGAGAACCCAGTGAGGATCGAACTCACTACTCAGTCGTAATTGTTCTAGAGAGACAAGCTTGTTAACTATTACACTGCCAGGGGTGCCCTTTTATTTTGTTTATATGTCTTTAAAATATTAATATATCAGCTTCCAGTATGACATATGTCAAAGTAAATGCGTAGATTTGAGACTTGTTTCTTTGGCAGTTCTTTTTCCATTTCTTTTTGATGTCTCCATGATGATATCCGGGACCGCCAGTCTAGGGTAGGGATTTCATGTGAGTTGAGGCTACTTATATGAGAGACGAAAGAGATTGGATTGAAATTATAAACAATCTTGTAAATAGGACAACAGCACTTCATTGCATTAACAAAACAAATTAGGAAGTCTATCAAAACAGGTAATTGCAAATATTTATAGTATGTGTCCTTATTCGTACGTACGTTGCATGTAAATTATTATTGAAAATGCTGTGACGCTTTCATTAGGGAAAAACACTTAATCGTAGTAGAGTTAACACTTTAGGGTATTGTTATGTGCTAAGAAATGGAAGCGAAATATGTATCCCTATACAAACCCGTAGTCAAAAAGAACTGACTGGTTAGCTTTTTACCGTTTATCAAACACTAGCAGCATGGTCCGGCGTTTCCCGTGCTTGATTAAAAAATCGTACGATTTATACAGCAATCGCTATCACTTGACTTAAAATATTTTTGCCCTTCCTTGCCTTTAAAGGAGTGTCCTTTGCCGTGCTGATGTTGATACATGCCTTACTTCTTGCCTATCTCACTCTGCGAATTTTTTCTAAGCTCTATACTAAACATTAAATCTGTTACGAAAAAAGAACTAAACAAAATGAACACAAAACGATCAGCTTTAAAAAAGGACTCGTAACTGGAAAAACCGAATGAAAAAAGAATCTTAACATGAAATACTTTTTCACACCCAACCCAGTTCTGCGGAATCAGAATCAACGTTGAGTTTAAGCAAGCGAATGAGCCAATTGGAGTAAAGTACCATGAAGATTTAAATTTTTCCCACTTTAACATTCGTGTCAGTCAGCTGTTGGCTCTCACGCTGGCCAATAGAATCTTCCTGCCTATTCGTGGCAGCCAGCTATTGTCTCTCATTCTGGCCAGTAGAAAATGGCCACAAACTACATGAAAAGTGCCGTAGAAGCATGGGAAAAATCGATTATTTCCGCTATCGATGGGAGTTGGGAAATGCAAAGTGGGTCTTGGCCTTTCCGCTAACTTGGAGCATGTGCATGTAAATTTTGGTGCAAATCCGTCGAGAATTGCGGCCGTGCATTCGTTACACACACACACACACACACACACACACACACACACACACACACACACACACACACACACACAGAGCCTTTTATAGGTAGAGATATATTTAATTCCGTATAAAATATATTTTACTGTTGTAACCTAGGAAAGATTACTGAATAGAATAATCAAACGAAGGTTGGTAATGAATGATAATACCTAGGACATGAACCACGCATATAAGATTCGCCAGCGGCGCGTAGAAGGGGTAGTCAACTGCTAGAAGTGACTCAAGTGAATTCCACAATGAATCTCCAACTGCAGAATATCTACCAACCGCCCCACGCGGTCAGATGTGGCACAAGGCCGAATTTAATGTGGGGTATACGTGGATCCTCTCTGTCCGGAGAAAGAGTATTTGACCAGCACAGCTGGTGACGACTCTCAAACTGCAGGATATCTGCCAACCACCCCACGCGGTCAGCTGTGGCATAAGGCCGAATTTAATGTGGGGTATACGTGGATCCTCTCTGCCCGGAGAAAGAGTATTTGACCAGCACAGCTGGTGACGACTCTCAAACTGCAGGATATCTGCCAACCACCCCACGCGGTCAGCTGTGCCACAAGGCCGAATTTAATGTGGGGTATACGTGGATCCTCTCTGCCCGGAGAAAGAGTATTTGACCAGCACAGCTGGTGACGACTCTCAAACTGCAGGATATCTGCCAACCACCCCACGCGGTCAGCTGTGGCACAAGGCCGAATTTAATGTGGGGTAACGTGGATCCTCTCTGCCCGGAGAAAGAGTGTTTGACCAGCACAGCTGGTGACGACTCTCAAACTGCAGGATATCTGCCAACCACCCCACGTGGTCAGCTGTGGCACAAGGCCTAATTTAATGTGGGGTATACGAGTCCGTATGCTCCGACAAAAATTCCCCGCAGACCCCGTATAAAACGGGGTCGGGTAGCTGTTTTCCGAAACGAGACTCTGTCCTACGACATAGCCTCGTCTGGGGATCCTCTCTGCTCGGAGGCAGAGTGTTTGATCAGCACAGCTGGAGACAAATCTCCAACTGTAGACTAACATACAGTATTTACTACTGTATTTATGTGAATGGACACATTATCGTCCGTAGTTATGCTGCAACATTTAGATTGCAAGAATAATAAATTCTTTTGCGAATGCATATTAAATTAATAATCTTTTGAAGATAACAATGTTTCTTCCAGATTCATGTGCTATTTAACCCATAGATCTGGGGGAGCATTTATACGTCATTTTTTATTCCTATGTCACACTTTATGTCGTCAGTTACTACATTAACCAGTCATTTAAGCTCTTGATTCTGATGTCTCCGATTTGAAGCCCAAACGTTTTGATCAATATTTGATGTGACCTTTACTGATATCATATATCCTGTCTTCATGTAATAGTTTTTCTTCTCGCTTTCCATTAACTATATTGGCTAGAAGTTCTTGCAGTTTTCCTATTGATTCTGCCATCAACAAAGTGATATTTGCGAATCTTAAGATGATGTCCGCCGGTATTATATACTAGTAGGTCTTCTTGTTTTCATCAGCTTGTTATGCTGTACAGATGAAGTAGAACCAATGAAAAAAAGCTTCTTTCTTATGCTCTCCTTATTATTTGTAAGTAATTTTTCTCATACCCACATGCTTACGTTGTTATTTAAATTAGCCAAAATCTTATTTGTTATTCAAATCAGGTTAAAAAATATTTTTTATTCAAATTAGAAAAAATTATTATTCAAATTAGTTACAAATATATTTTTATTCAAATTAAACAAAAAGGTATGTGTTATTCAAATTAGAAACCTTTTTATTCCAATTATGCAAAAACGTATTTATTATTCAAATTAAGCAAATCTAATTTGCTATACAAATTAGGCAAATTTGTTATACAAATTAGGCAAATGTATTTAAATAAGCTAGAAATAATTTTGCATTCAAATTAAGCAAAAAGGTATGTGCTATTCAAATTAGGGACTTTTCTTATTGAAATTAGACAGGAAATTATTTGTTATTCAAATTAGGCTAAGACATAATTGTTATTTAAATTAGGAACTTTTCCTATTTAAAATTAGAAGGAGCTTATTTGTTATTCAAATTAAGCTAAAAATTATTTCTTATTCAAATTAGGCTGAAACGTAATTGTTAGTCAAAATAGGAACATTTCTCGTTCAAATTAGACAGGAATTTATTTGTTATTCAAATTAAGAACTTTTCTTTTTCAAATTAGACTTTTCTTATTCAAATTAGGTTAAAACATAAATGTTATTCAAATTAGGAACTTTTCGTATTTAAAATTAGAAGTAGCTTATTTGGTATTCAAATTAGGCAAATTTGTTATTCAAATTAGGCTAAAAATTATTTGTTATTCAAATTAGGCTGAAACGTAACTGTTAGTCAAAATAGGAACGTTTCTTATTCAAATTAGGAACTCATTAGCTAGTCACATAATGTGAAAGTATACGATGAAAACATATTTTGCAATGCAAAAAATGATTTACAGTTAAAGTAGATATGATTTAAAGATCTTATCGAGACTTTGGTCATAAACTTCCCTCTACATTTTAAGTTCTGTTCATACGAACGGAACCAAAACAAAATCATTGCACAAATGATGAAAGACATTCATTCACTGAAATCAGGCCATATATTATTTCTTTGCTTTCATATTCATTAATATTAGCTTATTAATTCATAATGGTCAAATAGTTATAAGCGGCGGTCAGGCTATCAAGTAAATATCCCCTGTTTGCTTCTGAAATCAGTATTAAAATCTTGTCTATGCATGAACGTAAACTCAGAAGATATGATGTTATTGGATCCGCAAATAACGATTCCAGCATTTACAATGTCAATCCAAGTCCGGTATAAGGCCAAAATATCGTGTCACGATATAACTATCGAAGTCATTAAGTATGGTGACAAGCTAAAAGGGGTGTAATATGGACAGAAGTGGCGCTGATATTAGCAGAAAAAGAGATCAGCCTGTGGGTTTAATAATGATTAATAGAGCGACATTTAGCGTTGCGTTGTGCTCCTCTCAGTTGCGTCTCTGTCCGTGGACAGAGTGCGCTCAGAGGCTTCTCTGTCTAAGGACGTGGGGGGGGAACTGAGAAAATAATACTGAAGAGGTGCCCAGCCCTGGGAAACAGCTGCCCGAGGCCGCGTCCTCCCATTGCACTAGAGGGAGGGGTCG